GCATAGAATTAAAAAGGAATAAAAAATGTCCCATGTATGTCCTCCTTTCCCGAGACGTGTTTCGCCCTGCCTGAGGGCTTTCTCAATCGGATGTGTGCTGCTCTGATTTTTGTCCCGGTTTAAATATCCCGGTGTGTCCTCTCATTGGTGTATGGTCCAGGTAATTATCCAATCGTATTTGCCTTGGGGGGATGTACCTGTGGCTTCCGTTTCATTTACGGCCGTAACCGGAAGTGACGTCAGGCACATCGCCACGTCACTTCCGGTACTCGCGGTCGCCATTTTACTTATGGGCAATAGTATGGGAAAAGAGACAGAACGCTAATACATCGCGTTTGTCACTTTCCCTATGCCCCTTAATCAATATGGGTCAATCAATTCATTTGAAGACATTCTTCAAAACACATAAAAACTGAATGGAGCTTATAGCTCCTAATTGTTACCAAATGTACAATTTCAAATACATAAAAGGCTATTAAAGGTATCTTTTAGTCACAGCTTGATCTTAAATTAAAACATTGCTGTATTATCTTATTAAAACATATATATATTGTAATATTAAAACAAATGTATAAAATACATATATTATTTAGAATAGTATTACAAAAAATGACACATTTCAAAATCACTGTTGAGGCCAGTGGGACTCATAGTATTGAGGTCAAAAATCCACCTCATTTCCTGTTGTCCCATTTTCCTTATTGGATCTTTGCCTCTCCAGTTAATATTTACAATTTGTATGCCTATAAATTCTAATTGGGTTGGCTCACAGTTGTGTTTATATTTAAAATGCGCAGACAGGCTATGTTTATCAAAACCCTTCCTAATATTGCGAATATGTTCTTGTATTCTTATGTGGAGGGATCTGGTAGTTCTACCTACATAATTCAAACCACATTTGCATGTAATAAGATAAATAACTCGTTTAGAATAACAGGTTATGAGTTGATTTATTTTATATTTTTTAGACTGATTGTCCTGAAATTGTGTTTCACATGTAGAGAATGTGTCTCTTTCTTTGACCACTATTCTTGCATGCACCGCACATACCACAACCATAAAATCCATTATTTTGATTAAAGGCATTTCCAATGTTATTGTGTTCTTTTATATGATTACGTACTAAATTAGTTTTTAACCCCTTAAGGACGGAGCCAAATGTACACGTTGTGAACAAAACAAAATGTAAACAAAACCTGGCATTTGCGCTACATGTCTGTCCAACCGTAATACACCTCTTTCATAGTAAATGCACCCACCCTTATTATATATCATTTTATTCAGGGGAAACAGGGCTTTCATTTAATATCAAATATTTAGCTATGAAACATAATTTAATGTGAAAAAAATGGGAGAAAATACGATTTATTTGGATTTTTTTAGTTCTACATGACATTTTAACGGTCAGTGTCATAATACTGTTTGCTTTTACTGCAATAAAATACACATATTTGTATTCAGCAAAGTCTCACGTGTAAAACAGTACCCCCTATGTACAGGTTTTATGGCGTTTTGGGAAGTTACAGGGTCAAATATAGCACGTTACATTTGAAATTGAAATTCGCCAGATTGGTTACGTTGCCTTTGAGACTGTATAGTAGCCCAGGGAATGAAATTTACACCCATAATGGCATACCATTTGCAATAGTAGACAACCCAAGGTATTGCAAATGGGGTATGTCCAGTCTTTTTTAGTAGCCATTTGGTCACAAACACTGGCCAAAGTTAGCGTTAGTATTTGTTTGTGTGTGAAAAATGCAAAAAAACGCCAATTTTGGCCAGTGTTTGTGACTAAGTGGCTACTAAAAAAGACTGGACATACCCTGTTTGCAATACCTTGGGTTGTCTACTATTGCAAATGGTATGCCATCATAGGGGTAATTTTCATTCTTGGGCTACCATAGGGTCTCAAAGGCAGCGTAACCAATCTGGCGAATTTTAATGTGAAAAAAATGAAACGCAAGCCTTATATTTGACGCTGTAACTTTTGAAAACACTATAAAACCTGTACATGAGGGGTACTGTTGTACTCGGGAGACTTCACTGAACACAAATATTTGTGTTTCAAAACAGTAAAAAGTATCATAGCAATAATATTGTCCGTTTAATGCTGTTTGTGCGTGAAAAATGCAAAAAACTTCACTTTTACTGGCGATATCATCGTTGTAATACATTTTACTGTTTTGAAACACTAATATTTGTGTTCAGCGAAGTCTCCCGAGTAGAACAGTACCCCCCATGTACAGGTTTTATGGTGTCTCGGAAAGTTATAGGGTTAAATATAGTGCTAGCAAATTAAATTCCCTTTACTTTCGGCATGGGTTGTCATGCAGGTCCTGCTAATTGTAATTAATTAAGATACCTAATTATGTAAAAATATTACATAAATATATATGTAGAATCAATATATGTATATATATACGTATGTGTATATATATGTATATATCTATATAATTTTTTTTAAATATTTTTATTTATATATAGGTATATATATAGTGATATATACGTATATATTTATGTGTATAAATATATATATTATTTCGTTCTATGTGTATTTTGATATATATATATATATATTAATTTCACAATACAGTTAGAACGAAATAACACACATCTATATATTTTTTAATTATTTATTTTTAATTATTTTTGTAATTTTATTTTTTAACGTATTTACATTTTAATTTTTTTTATAATATATATAAATATATATATAACAATAATTATATATATATTTAATCAGTATCAGTCTACGTGTAATTTGATATTAATATATATATATAATTATATATATATTAATAGTAAAATACACCTAGACGGTGTACATGTGTGTATGTATATGTGTATATATATACTTTGATCATATATATATAATATATATATATGATCTAAGTATATATAATTTTATTTTTTTACACTTTTAACTTATTTTACTTTTATTTTCAGCCAGCAGGGGGACCCCCTGTAATTACAGGCAGCCCCCCTGCTGGCAATACAGAAGCCAGCTATACCCGGCCATGTGATTGTGGGGTCCTCGCTAGGACCCCACTCTCACACGGCCGGGGGGCTTCCTGGAGGACGGTCGTGCCGCGGGGGGCTCCCTGGGAGTCCCCCCCACCGCGATCGCCGGCGTGGGACCGCCGGCGACCGGGTAAGTACAGAAAGACCGGAGGGCGTACTATTACGCCCGGCGGCGTTTAGAGCCGCCTATTAGAGGACGTAATAGTACGCCCTGCGGTCTTAAGGGGTTAAACTAGGGACTCCTCTATAGGTAAAAATAGGTTTATTTGGTAACATTCCATTTAAAATTGTATCTGTTTTTAAAATGGGCCAGTATTTTTGAAATATCTTTTTCAACTTATAATTTTGACAACTAAAGTCACAGATAAATACCAGATTACGTTCGTCATTCTCAATTTGCGGTAGTTTGTATTTTAAAAGTGACTCCCTCTCTTTTAGTGCAACCTCCCGTTGGGCCTTATCTAGTAATTGGGCTCCATAACCTTTCTGTTTAAAATCATCTAAGATTTTACATGACTGGACTTTAAAAACCTCTTCATCAGTACAATTTCGTTTGATCCTCATTAGTTGTGCTTTAGGTGCGTTGGTAAGCCAGGGGGAGAAATGGCAGCTTGATTCTTCAATATAGCTGTTTACATCTACTTTTTTAAAATAAGTTTTGGTTTTAATTTCACCCTTATCTATGTAAATTTGAAGATCTAGAAATTCCACAGATGTACGGCTGTGACTACTTTCCAATTTAATACCCCAAGTGTTGTCATTAAGGGCTGTTAGAAAGGATAACAGGGACTCCTCATCCCCTTTCCAGATCAAAAATATGTCGTCCATGTAGCGGCGGTAGAGCACCAGATTCTCCTCCCAGTCCTGCCTTGCATACACATATTGGTGTTCCCAGAATGACATGAACAAATTGGCATAACTGGGGGCGAATCTGGTGCCCATCGCCGTACCACATATCTGGAGGTAAAAATCACCCCCAAACCAGAAATAGTTATTGGTAAGAATCCATTTAATTCCTTTAATGATAAAATTGATTTGTTCTTCAGGGAATTCTCCAAACTTCTCTAGAAAAAATCTAGTAGCTTGGCATCCCTGCTCGTGTGAGATGATGGTATATAGTGAACTCACGTCCGCTGTTACCAAAATATAGCTTTCTTCCCATACCTGATTATTCAAGAGATTCAGTATACTCATTGTATCTTTCAGATGACTAGGGCATCGGGGAACTATAGATTGTAAACACCTGTCTATGTATTGAGACAGCCGGCTAGATATGGATCCTATCCCAGACACTATAGGTCTCCCTGGTGGATGATCTTTATTTTTATGTATTTTTGGGAGCTGGTAAAATACTGGAGTTCTGGGATATTTAATATCGAGGTACTTCTGTTCCTTATTATTTAAAATGCCCAACATTTTTCCATGATCTATCAGCTGGTGGTAAGTTGTTTTAATATCATTGACGGGGTCTTTGGTTAATTTTTTATATGTATTGGTATCCATCAGTAGTCTTTGGCATTCCTGTACATACCTTTCCTTGTCCATTAAAACTATCCCCCCTCCCTTATCGGCTGGTTTTATTACCAGTGTATCATCTTTCTTGAAATCTTTAAGAGTGTTTCTTTCTTTGTTGTTCAGATTATATTCCCATTTTTTGGGTGCTTTCAGATTTTTTACTTCATTCATTACCATTTTTTCAAATGTAATGATCTCTTCTGAGATCAATGAGTGGGGATAAAAAGTTGATGTTTCCCTAAGGTTGGAATGGATGAAATCATCTTGAGGGTGATCGGGGGTGATAATAGAATTTTTTGCAAAAAATTTTTTGAGGCATAGCTTCCTCTTAAATTTTTGAAGATCTACATAGACATTAAATTTGTCTATTGGTTTAGTTGGTGCATACTTTAAACCTTTAGATAAAAGTTCGATCTGTGTGCTAGTTAATGTACGTGTAGTAAGGTTGAAAATGCCATTAGATTCTATGGGTCCCGTCTGTCCTGCCTTCCTTTTCTGTATTGTCGTTCCTCCTCTACTTCCCCTTCTTCTAAACTCCTTGCTCTTTTTCCCCACACTTTCATTGGTGTATTTTTGTGTTTGTCTCTGGTGTGGGTCCCTTGAAAATCCTCCCTCCTAGATGACCTCTCCCGGTTGCTAAATCTATTTTGGAGGGGAATATACGGTGTTATTTGATAATTCCTTTGTTGTTGGGGATTAATCGTAGAGTAATGGTGTGAAGGTCTATTTATTTCTTTTCTTCTTACCACTTGTTCTGGAGTGTTGGCATTGGAATATGTATAGGGATATTTTCCCTTAGAATGATCTCTAGCATTAGTGTCATGTTTAGGTCTCTGATCTTTATTTGTATTGCCTTGCCTTGCATACAATTGTTGCAATGAGTTAGAGCCATGGGGTTGATATCTTTTGTCTGGCTGTCTATGTCTAACTTCCTGTTCGTTGTGGTCCTCTTTTCTATATCTAGATTGTGTTCTTGAATATGAACGGACTTGATTATGAGCATAGTCATTTTTATCCCTAATGTATTTCTTTTTTTTCGTTGTTATTACTGTTTTTTCTAGTTTATTAATATTTGTCTGAATGTTATCTACCATAGAGGAATAGTCACCAGATGACATGTTCGTGTTTAATATCTCTTGTAAAATATTTATCTCATTATCAATTTTTTTAAGGGTACTGGTTCTTCTTTTCACTATTAAACCCATTAGCCCAAAAGAGAAACTCTCTAGCATATTCATCCATTCTTCTATGAATTCCTCCTCATCCTGATCAAAGGATGGGTTTTTAGTAAATCTCAAACCTCTAGGGGTAATTTTCTCTCTAATATATTTTTCCATTGTTGCCACTTCCCACTTTATCTTCATTTCTCTCACTAGTGTTTTTTCTAATTTATATTGACAATTCCGAGTATCAATATTTTCACCTATGTTGTCCATAGGGATTGTTAATTCATCAAACATCATGTCTATATTCTTACCGCATTGCATGCGATTGGAAAACATGATAGTATTAGGTGAAGCAGCCACACAGTGTAAGAGAGACTCAACCAATTACAGAAAAAGAAAAGAAAAAACTGTGTATAAGAGGCGCTTATAGATTATGAAGAACAGTATAGACAAATGCTACAACACTCTTGTGGGGGTCCCTCTCACCCACCTCAAACTGAAAGAACTATAGAAAGAGGTAAAAAAGCCAAAGGCAGTTCACCTATATGAGTGGAGCAAATAGTGATGGTAACAGGCACCTACCCAACTTAAAGGGTCTTCTGGTCCTAATATTGTAAAGATCACTTCCAATTTCAGCATATATATAACAAAGAGAGAAACATATACAAAATCATAGTGCAACTCTGTATAACCATATAGAATTTATATAGTAATCCTGAGAAGTGCCAACTCACGTATTCCAGAGCCCAAATAAGGATGGGCTCAGATCACTTGCGCTTTTTGGTACCGTCTGGTGGTACTATCCCCTTTCTTTTGAGCACGTAGGTAAATCACCTCAGAAATAAAATATGTATAGGGGAAAACCAGTATAGTGCAGTAATTTCAGACAAAGGTAAATTGGATATATAAATAAATGAACGCTCACCTTGTTTTGAGCCCCAGTATTGGCTCAAACTTTCAGCATTAGTGCCTAAATTAGGGAGACACCAACCCTTCTTGGTGCAGCTTCAGTGAAGGTCAGTAGGAACTTGTATATAAAGATATTAATTTATTATGCCCACTGGCAAAGAAACATAAAAAATATATGCATAGAATTAAAAAGGAATAAAAAATGTCCCATGTATGTCCTCCTTTCCCGAGACGCGTTTCGCCCTGCCTGAGGGCTTTCTCAATCGGATGTGTGCTGCTCTGATTTTTGTCCCGGTTTAAATATCCCGGTGTGTCCTCTCATTGGTGTATGGTCCAGGTAATTATCCAATCGTATTTGCCTTGGGGGGATGTACCTGTGGCTTCCGTTTCATTTACGGCCGTAACCGGAAGTGACGTCAGGCACATCGCCGCGTCACTTCCGGTACTCGCGGTCGCCATTTTACTTATGGGCAATAGTATGGGAAAAGAGACAGAACGAATGAACCTAGAGGTATCGGGGAAACAAAGTCAGCAGTAGAAGCTTCTTGATTGGACCGTTTAAAAGGTCCATTTGCATAATTTATGCGTTATACTTACCTTCGTTTGGCGCCGTTTTTCCAACCATCTGATTTGTCCATGTGGTTAACTAGTAAGCATGGGAGGCATATAAACAGTGACCCAGTCGTCATTAAACTTTCAGCCCCTGACGAAGGTGCACGCTAGTGGCACCGAAACGCGCGTCGGGTTTCTTCTTTCTTCCTCACTTCACAGGGCACACTGTCACATGTGCAAGGACCAACACTCTAAGTATGGTCCTGCACATTAGTACGCACTAATTGTTCTATCTTTTCTTTTCCTCCTGTATATTCTGTCTATACACTATGGGGAAGTGAATTCTAATATACCTGTTTTTTCCTCTAATATTACAGGCAGTCAGGATCAGTCCGTTAATTTATTAATTTTTTATTTCATTTTTTTTGGACTGAATATCCTGTATTTAACGGGTATCTAGTCAAATGATATCAATCCCACATACAGCTATACGAATGACAAGCCTGCCGACCAGGTATTTTCACCCCATAGAGTTTATAGGAATAACACAGCATAACTAACATAATGAGGCAGCAGCACATTTTTGTTGTTGCTTCTTTGCTGAGCATTTGATATTTTGATACAAATGCTGTGTATAATTAGAATTGCTGTCTATGTTATTTGTATCCTTATGTATTTCAGACATTGACCAAAATATGACCAAAATATAACATTAAAGTCAGGAGTCTGATTTTGACACTAATTAACATAGACAACAGGGAGGTACAGCTATTCAAGCTGTGGAGGTCTTTGTATTGATTGTTTTTTTGACTCTTTTCTAATATATTTACAATCATTTTTACTATTTTTGTATGTTGATATTATCTATTCATTCCATTTCCAGTCATCATTTACACATCTGAGGGGTTTCCTCAGATCTGTGAATTTTTTGAATATTCTAGGAGAAGGGGTTAAGCCCCATATGACACTGCTGGAGTGTCAATTAAGGTGTTTTTTCTGTGGAATTGGACAATTAGCCCTATCCATAGATTTTCATTTTTTTTTAAATAAAAGGCACATTAACACTGAGATTTCTTTTACCTGGGGAGATGAAAAGGTCCAAAGTTTCCCTGCCAGGCCCAGGTTCCAAAGCCGTATGATGTTGTGTCCAGAATAAAGAAGAGGAATCACTTCACTTGTCCTTTTTTCTTCAATCTCCTTTTCTTCTTCTTCATTTGACACAGTATTCTTATTCTTCTGACACTGTCTTCTCACCTCCTTGACTTCTTCTGCTCCTTTACCTTTTTGCTACTTTCTGCTTCTTTTGCGCCCTTCTGCTCCTTTCTCTTTCTGATCCCTTTCTGCTCCTTGCAGACCCATTCTGCTCCTTCTCCTACTTTACATGTGTGCTCCTTCTGCCCATTCTCGGTCCTTGCTGCTCTTTCTGCTCATTTATCTTTCTTCTCTTTTCTGCTCCTTCTTCTACTTTACCTTCCTGCTCCTTTCTGCCCTTTCGGCCCTTTCTGCCCTTTCTGCTCCTTTTCCTACTTTACCTTTGTGCTCCTTCTGATTTTTTTCTGCTCCTTTACCTTTGTGCTCCTTCTGTCCATTCCTGTACCTTTCTGCTTCTTGCTTACCTTTCCTGCTCCTTGCAGACCCTTCTGGCTCCTTGCTGCCCCTTCCTGTTTATTTATATTCCTTTCTGCTCCTTCTCCTACTTAAACCTTTGCCCTCCTTCTGCCCATTTTAGCTCATTGCTGCACATTTTCTTCTCTTTGCAGACCCTTCCTGCTTCTTGCTGTCCCTTCCTGTTTCTTGCTGTCCCTTATTGCTCTCTGACACTCTTGGGGTTGAATGGAAGCAAATTTTCACATGAATGTTTAAAAAACGTGAAAACTATTTTTTTTTTCAATTACTACATTTGCTTGTTAATAATCACAGTGTCTAATAATGATTTTAATTTGTCATACACTACCAAGTAGTCTTACTACATTTAGGATTTACTATTGAAATTTATAGGGGGCTTGGCTGGGAAATACCAGTGTTTTCTTGTTGCATTTTTAAATTCACCTTGAATTAATTTAAAATTCCCAGCTTTGCTCACTTTAGTGAATAACCATGAAAATCACAATGCTACACAATGGACTCTTTTAATCAGTTCAGTAGCCATCATTTGGTGAATTATTTAATAGTCACAATGTGCTTGTCAATGGATGTGTGTTGTAAAAAGAGTTAGGTTTTGTAAGTTGCTTTTTACAGAACGTTCCATTGTCTTCTTCAAGTGCCTAGTTGTTTTTAATATGAACATGCATCAATCAATTATTAATACAAAAAGAATGATGCAAGAATGAATATGTGCTTTTAGAAGTAACATTACAAACATTGAAAAAAATAGCCTGCAAGATTTTTTATATGTGACAATGTGTTTTTGTTTTTAATTAAAAGTCTACCAGATGTTTTTCCCCATATGCCTGTAGATACACACATAGATAACTTTTCACAGCAAAAGAAACCACAGCATTGCCATAAGTTTAAAAAAGAAGTTACGGGTATTTAATAATCATACTGTTTCCATTAAATATGATATAATTCACACTTTCTTTCCTCTACTTAATCAGTGTGAAAGAATTATAATTTTGTTTTCACTAACTGTGATTTACTTAGTGTATCTTGATTTATAGCATGAGGAATTTGTTTAGTTAATGGAACATTTTAATTTACTGTGCAAGATAGAAGGCCATATAAAATTACTTGGAATATCTGGATTGCATTACTGTTGAAGACTGGCCAAACTATTAAATCAGGAAAGAATTAGCAGAGCAAGCACTTTTATTTCAGGTACATCAAAGTGTGCTATGACTAAATGAAGTTGGCTCTTGGAATTAAAATTCAATCTTGATATTAAGTAATAAACATCATTTTTAACTATAATGATACATTTTTAAAGGATAACCCAAAGGCAAACCGTTTGCATTGCATAACATCACTTATACAATAACATATGTACCT